GTCCTAGCAACTGATTTAGAGCACAAAAAGTGGCCAAGTAGTTTTCTGAGAGAATAATTACTATGTTGTATCTTAAAGCCATCCATGAATTTTAGAAGATCTCAGAGAAGTTAGTTTTCAGTTATAAATATCATAAAGTAAACTTATTTATGACCATCGATTTCTTTATGGTATGATAAACTAGCAATTTTACGTAATGGAAAAAATTGCTTATAAAAATACCCAAGTTACTAATTCAAAACAAAGTTCTTGCTTTTTAGCAATTTGGTATCCAATGTTAAATTATATGGTATCAAAAGATAAAGTACCAAATAACATCTTTCCTATTGATTTGTTACAATTGTAACTAAGTTCTAAATTGTAATGCTTAATCTAATGCTGATATTTAAACATTATTACCTTTAGAGTTTAACATAATAGAACTGTATTAGTAAGGATAGATCAAGCTAACTGTATGTAATTAATTGTTAAAATGTATGTGCATTGTTATACATGTGGTGTTCTCTCTTATGTTCAATAAAGGTAAAATGTTAAAAAATAAACTTATTTTAGAAGCTGTTTTATTACATCCAAAAGCCATAAAACTTATTCTAACTTTGCTGAAGTTCTTTATTATAATTCCACCAAGATTGGTGAGAAGAAATTAAGATCAAATTTTAAGTCTTGCGCAAACTTACTCATTGCCACGGATGTCCATGCTAACTGGGCATCAGTCAGTGCTCTGAAATGAGGTTTGACAATGTCCTCCACAGTTACAGCAGCTAATGCATTGATGCTGGAAGACACTGTACTAAGGGATACAAAACAAAAATGGTTTGCATTTCAAATATGCAGTTATTATATAAGTAGGACAAATTAAAAAAGAGTCAGAAACAATGCCCAGGGGGAAAAAGCAAAGACTTGGACAGGATTCCCAGTATCCATACAGGGGGGCATCCAACACTGAGAACCAGCCTTTTCTGATACAGCATTTGATATGGTTCAGAAGCATTGTGCAAATCATTGTGTATCAGAGAGGAGACACTGCTGGTGGATTTTTGCTTCCTGTCCTCTTTAGAATCCACAGGCATCCATAGAGCTTTTAATAAGAGCATAGTTTTAAAGCTACAAGGAACTCTCCTAATTTCTAGAGGCAAAAACCTGCCCTGCTTGCGTCACATGAGATGTCACAGTAACCAATGTAGTGAAAGCCTATGCTTGTGCCACAGCAGGAAAAAAAAGGGACAGCAATCTGCAAAATATTTACTTGAACACCTCAATGAGTATACAATGGGGCCTCGATGTTACACTAAAATGAGTGGTTTATAGATTTTTAACCTTATTGTTACTTCAGGTAACATGAATGCCTTTCCTATTATCCTGTTACAGTTATTACTACGAATATCAACATCAGAAGCAACCAATTTTCTTTAGATAGTACACAATTGCTTACATATCTAACAAAGGCTGGTTACCAATGCACAACTAAAATACAACTTTGGGATAAGGTACAGAATTCTGCATATTCTTCACCTGTCCCTTACATTATGCTTATTAATTCCAATCCATATTTCTCTGCCTGGTTTTGCCATCATATTTGGCCTTAAATAACATGGGTTAAAAATTAAGCTCTGACATTTCTAAACTCACAGAAGACCCTGATCATGCCTAAGTGCTCAAAGCAAGTTTTAGAAGCGTTCCTTGGGTCAATGTAAACCAAAACTGATGACAAACCAGATGCTGAACTTGGGTAGAACTTTTCATGTCATAGGACCCAGAGCACTGATGAGAAATCGTTAGGAAGGGTCCCGTCAAAAAGATCTGCACATGCAAAGGGGCAATTCCCTCCTCCTGTAGAAGCCCTCTAATTCCTCCATCATGTTCCTGGAGGTCCTCCATTTGGAGCTGTTTTGGGAGGGGGGAGGCAGGAAAGTTGTGCTTTCATGCACTGAGTCTACATGGAATTGGGATTATTTCATTAATCTATATTTTGAACTATGCACATTATTCTAATATACAGAATCCATTTCATTTTGAGTACTTGTTTGTGACATATTATGCTTATAATGAAACAGACTGAGCTACTGCATGGTGTCACAGGAAATGGTAAGGAAATTCCTCATCAGCGTATAATGGTGAGCTTGGTCTCTTCATGTACTTTACAGACATATGATACCATAATTCTAATTTACCTTAACGTCCCACTATAGGTCCCAGCCACAAAGAGTCCTGGAACTCCTGGAAAATCTCCCAAAATGTCCAATACCAAGTATGGCATGAGCTAAATAAATTAATAAAATATTAAACCTCTTATTTTTATCTGTTTTCTCTTTTTTTAAAAGTAACATGAATTTGAAATATCTAACATTAAACATTTTAACTACAGCTATGACATTCACTGGGTTAGACAGACAGAAAGATAGCCAGGCTGAAAAAAAGCTCTCATACTGCTGGGGCACCTTTGTTAATAAACCAACTCTATTTCATGCAGAATAACAATGACAGCTTTTAAGTAGTACTATCTTTACCGTTCACAGGAACATGACAGTCATAGTTATTTGAGCTTCTGTTAGTCATGAAAGTAAACTCCCCTGACCAAAAATTAATTACAGCATTTGTTCAGATAAGGGCCTCAATGTATGTCTCAACTTCAGTCTGCGAAGATGCTTAGCTAGAAGATTCTCTTTGCAGAATGAGATGGCAGTTGCTGAAATTGATCTATTAATAGACTTCTGGCAGAGAATCTTGAATGTTCTCCCATTGAGCAATCATACATTACTCTGGGGATGGGGAGGGTGCTCTTGATCGAGAGGTAGTTATTACTGTTTACTTTTGATTAGGACAAAAGTACACATGATAACCTAATTTAAACCAGTATTTCCCCCCTTTCCTACTTCACTGACTGATCTGGAGAATAACTACACCAATGGCCATTATCAGTTTGCTATTCCACAAACTAACCAAGCCATCAACAGAAAACAATCAGGGTCAGTAGAAAAAATTCCTGGAATCCATTTCACCATAATCCCTTTGTACTGTCTTTCTAGCAAAAAGATGAAAAAGACTGAGTCCCCCCCCCTTTTTCCCCAGTTTTTGCTAACAAAAACAGCAAGAGCGCAAAAAATTTAAAACATATTCTATATCAAGAGTAAAACAATTTACTGAAGCTGTATAGAATCAGACCCAGCAAGGTAGGGACAGTACCCCTGGAAGACTTTGTCACAGAGAACTACAGATAAATCTAAATGCACGTTATTTTTAACTTGTCAGTAGTACTAAACCTGATCTGGTCTCTTCACAAGCCCCATAGTCATCGGGTCGCAATCCTTATATACAGAGTACATTGAGAGTCCACTCATCACTGCAGAAGAGATAACTATCCAGAGACCCACAAGGTTTAAGTAGAGAGCACTGTAAGAAAAATGTACAACACTTAAGAACTTTTCCCTGCTGAAATTATTTGAAAAACAGAACATGTTGCAATATTATGTGTTAAGAAGAAGAAGAAGAAGAGATTGGATTTTGAAAAGTACTGAGACTTACTAGCAAATTCAGCTCTCATACTTTATTAGGTGAAGAACAAGACAAAAAAGCCCGGCTCGCAGGCCGGCTTATATATGCTTAAACCCACACCCCAAACACCCCCACACACCAGTGATATGCTATTTACAGTGGCCAAGGGTTCCATAGGCCCTAGGCTGGGAGCCTAGCCCTCTGATTGGTGCGGGCTAGGATCCGCTCAGTCCATTGTCTAAGGAGCGAAGTTCAGAGGCTTCGCACGACCACGTGGAGCCCTTGCCTCGCACGCGGTCGGGGCTGAATACATTACACCCCTCCCCCCTTGGTCCAAAAGACACCCACAAACAAAGTCCTTGAGATAAGCTGGGGCTTTACGTTCTCGAGTGGAGCGGCATATCTCTGGGGCTGGTTCGGAAACCGATGCCAATGCACTCAGTGGAGTGCTGGCCAGCGTCAGTGGAGATTGCGCACCCCTATGAATGATGGCCAGTGTGACCGTGCTGTCCGTGGGCTGGTTTCCAGCTGGACTACTGAGTGCAGTGTCTGGGACGCTCGGAACTATAGGTTGGAGCTGTGATGCGGTGGTCTCTGAGGTGTCTGGGTCCTTGAAGTCCTCTGGGTCCAACGGTAGCACCCGCCAGCACAGTTGGTCTATGTGGCAGTGTAGTATCTGGCCATCCTCGCCAAAGACCTCATATGATCTGGGACCTTTTATTCTCACCACCCAGGCCTGAATCCAATCCATGGAGGGCCTTGCGCATAGTTCTGTGCGTATACAGGATCCTCGGGGAAGAAACCCATGCCCGCCTGTGGTGACTCTGTGTCTGGTTCCTCTTCTGGAGCGCGATCAGGGTGGAGACGATCCAGCCGGGTCGTCAGGGGCCTTCCCAGGAGGAGCTCCGCTAGGCTGTGTTCCGTAGAGGTGTGGGGGGTTCGCTGTCCAAACGGGAAAGCCGCTAGTTTATAGTCCCAATCCTTCGAATCTAAGCGGCGAAGCGCGTCTTTGGTGGTTCTTACCATGCACTCGGCTTGGCCGTTGGTTGCAGGGTGGAACGGGGCTGCCCAGACATGGCAAGTCCCATAGTACCGGGTGAAGTCCTGGAATTCCGAGAATGTGAAGGCTGTGCTGTTGTCCATGACCACGGTGTCAGGAATGCAGTGCTGAAGATCTGCCACACTGCCCAGATGGTGGATTGAGAGGAGGTGGACGGTACCGGCACCACCTCCAGCCATTTGCTATAGGCGTCGACCAGGAGGAAAAACAGCTGACCCTGGAATGGTCTTGCAAAATCCAAGTGTAGCCTGGACCAGGGTCTTTGAGAAGACTCCCAAGCTCGTGCGGGGGCCCAGCGTGGATCAGGTCGGGATTCCTGGCAGAGATGGCATCTTTTCACCACATCCTTGATGTCTCGATCCAAACCCGGCCACCAGACGTAGCTCCGGGCCAGCACCTTCATGCAGACCACCCCCGGATGCATCTCATGGAGCATGGCAAAGACGCGTTCCCTCAAGGTGTTTGGGATCACCACCCTGCCACCCCACATCATGCAGCCTTTGTGGGCCGATAGCTCGTCTCGGCAGGAGGCAAACGCTGTGAAGTCCAGCCCCCCCAGGACCAGGGGCCACCCCCTTCTCACCCAGTCCAAGACATGGCAGAGGATCTTGTCTTTGGCTGTGCAGCACGCCATCTCCCGAACGTGGACCGGTTGGTCCGGAAGAGCCTTCAGAAGAGCAACAAGATGCACTGGGGCCGTGGCAGGCAGCGGCAGGCGGCTCAAGGTGTCCGTGTGACCCATAGCTTTCCCTGGCCAGTGGACAAGGGAGTAAGAGTACCCTGCTAAGAAAACAGACCACCAGATCACCCGGGGAGACATCATTTGAGGGGTCTGGTGGTCAGAGGCCAGGAGACCGAGAAGCAGCTTATGGTCGGTCAGGACCATGAAGGGCCGGCCATACAGGTAATGGTGAAATTTTTTCACCCCGGCCACAATAGCGAGCGCCTCCTTGTCGGTGTGCGAATAGTTATGCTCCACAGATGACAAGGTCCTAGAATAATAAGCCACCGGGACCTCCCAGCCATCCGGCAGCTGGTGGCCCAGGACCACCCCGACCCCATATGGAGAGGCATCACAAGGGAGGACCACCGGAAGCACCTCGTTGAAGTGTGAAAGGACTGAGTTGGAAACCAGGAGGTCCTTCACGGCTTGAAAGGCTGTGGCATGCTCCGGCCCCCAGACCCAAGAGGCGTTTTTGTCGAGCAGACAGTGGAGGGGTTCCACCACCACAGCCTTGAGAGGAAGAAAGGAATGGTAAAAATTTAAGAGGCCAAGGAAGGCCTGTAGTTCAGATTTGGGCGTTGGCGGAGCAGCCTGTGTGATCGCCTTTGTCTTGTCGTTGGTAGGGTGGATGCCCGCACTGTCCACAGCGAGTCCCAGGAACTCCACCTGGGGCACCCCCAGCAGACATTTTTTGCGTTTGACTTTCAGGCTGGCGGAGTCAAACCAATAAAGTACCGCCAGTAGACGTTCCGCAAAGGTCAAGGCATCCGGAGCCGCGATGAGCACATCATCTAAAAACGGCTGAACTCCAGGGATTCCTTTCAGGAGAGAGTCCATGAAAGATTTAAAAATGCCCGGTACAACTGACACCCCAAACTGAAGCCGATGAACTTTAAAAGCCCCTTTGTGTGTCGCTATGGTTTGGGCCACGGCAGTGGCTGCATAAACTGGAAGTTGCTGATAAGCCTGTGCCAAGTCCAATTTGCCGAAAACCCGGGCCCCTGCCAGCGCAGCGAGCACATGGCTGACCACCGGTATTGGGTACGTGTGGTCTTGGAGTGCCTTGTTTAACGTGCACTTATAGTTGGCGCAGATGTGCACATCCCCGTTGGGTTTAACTGGGGTGACTATTGGGGTCTCCCATCAGGCGGAAGTGACTGGCTCCAACACCCCCTGTTCCACCAGTCAATCGAGCTCCACCTCGATCTTAGGCCTCATTCCGATAGGGGGTTGCCTGGTCTTTACCCTGAGGGGGCAGCCGGCCGGGTCGAGATTGAGGGATATGGAGCCCCCGGTGAAACGGCCGAGCGTGCCGTCAAAAACCCTGGGAAACTCGTTGCACACAGCCGCAAAGTCCTCTGCCCGAACCTGGTTAATTCCCGTGATTGTCAACCTGAGGGGCTCAAACCACGAGAGTCCCAGCAGGCTTGTGAACCTACCCCCCACCACCAGCAAGTCTAATTGTCCGCATAAGTCCTTAAACTGCACCTTGAACTTGCCCCAGCCCCGAACCACCACAGGGTTCTTGTTAAAGTCCCGCAACTTAAGTCCCCATGGCTTTTGCAGGAGGGGTCCCCCCCGTGGGCAGAGCGAGCGCAGTGTCTCCTCTGAAATGATGGAGAAGGACGACCTCGAGTCAATTTCCATGCTGCAAGGGGACCCCTCAATTAACAACATTACGTGCACTTTATTTGGGCTGTTGGGGGGCAAGTTACATACCAGGTGCTGGTGGTGGTGGGCTGAGAGGGTGTGCAGGTCGTTGTGGAGATTCGTCGAGGTCTGGTGGGCCGACGTCTTCTGGTGCTGACCTCTGGAGCAGCAGACCCAGGAAATGTGTCCCAATTTGTTGCACGTCTGGCGGACGGCATCCCGGAAGTGGCACGACCAGCGTTCGTGTGCTTCCCTGCAACTGGCGCAGGACGACGAAGATGATGAGGTCTTGGCCGAGGAGGTTCCCGCTGACGATGTGGCAGTTGGGACGAGCTGCAGTGTACCTGTAGCACCTCTTCGCCCTTGGAGTTGTCGGACTCGACCGTTGCCTGAGTGCGATGGACCGCCTTTCCGCAGCAGACTTGGTGCACCTTCTCGTAGGCCGCGGCCTCCCGGACTGCCTTATCCAGGTCCAGTTCGTCTTGGCTAACCAGTTTCCTCCGCAGTTTGGGTTCCCGGAGACCCAAGAGGGACTGATTTAGCAAAGCGCCCGCCAGGTCGGGGAAGGAGCACCTGGTGGCCGCCCGCCAGAGTCCGGCCAAGACCTCGTGAGCCATTTTGTCAGGACCCTGGACCCATGCAAAGAAGTCCATGCGCTCGGCAAACTTTGTGGGTTTCGGTGAAAGGTGGTCAGACAGCGCTTTCAGCAGCACCACATAGGTTTCGTCCTTGGTCTGCTTAAGCACAATTAGGTCCTTTAGCAGCAGAACAGTGTCTATCCCACATGCCCAGAGGAGGTGGGCCTTCTTCTTACCCAGATCAATGATGTCATGGCAGTTGAAGTAGCTCTCCAGAATCTCGAGCCATGTCTCCCACTGTGCAGGGCAGGAGATGCCGAAGGCGGCGATGCTTTCCTGGGAAGTGGCCATCTTAGCGCTGCCTCATGGAAGGTAAAGCTCGGGAACAGTGGTGGCGGCAGTGGTAGCGTGGCGTGGTGCTGTGCTTGGAGTCGGCAGTGCGGAGCGCGGAGCGATGAGCGGCAACCGGCGAAATGGGGCATGAAACAGAGCGGCATGTGGAGGTCTTGGTGCTGGGGCTCAATGCGATGCTCGAATCTTCTTCTTAGTCATTGTTCATGGGAGGTAGAATCCCATCTTCATCGCCAGTGAAAAGTACAGAGACTTACTAGCGAATTCAGCTCTCATACTTTATTAGGTGAAGAACAAGACAAAAAAGCCCAGCTCGCAGGCCGGCTTATATACGCATAAACCCACACCCAAAACACACACACCCCACACCAGTGATATGCTATTTACAGTGGCCAAGGGTTCCATAGGCCCTCAGCCAGGAGCCTAGCCCTCCGATTGGTGCGGGCTAGGATCCGCTCAGTCCATTGTCTAAGGAGCGAAGCTTGGAGGATTCGCACAACCACATGGAGCCCTTGCCTCGCACGCGGTCGGGACT